CCTAGCCGAGGTGATAGCCACCAGGAACACAACCTTACAAGTGAGGAGCTTCTGGTTAACCATCCGGAGTGGTTCAAAAGGCTTGGCCATAAGGGCCCATAGCACCGTGGGAAGGTGCCACATAGGAAACATGTGGACTCGTGGTGGACGAAGGTAGGCCGCTCCCTTGAGATACCTCTTAACTAAGGGCAAACGAGGTAACGGAGTGGGCCCCTCCCCAGGTAGCACCATGGCCAGTGCCACCAACTGTGTCCTAACCATGGCTAGGGACAGGCCCTTGTCCAGACCATCCTGGAGGAAATACAGGACTTGAGGGACCGTGGCCTTCGAGGGGGTCACATGGGTGGCCTGGCACCAGGAGACAAACGTCCCCCAAGTGGAATCGTAAATCCTGTTGGTTGATTGTCTACGGGAGGCCTCGATGGTTTTGATCACCTTTTGGGACAGGAGAGTGCCTCTCAGGCGCTCCCGCTAAATCTCCACATGGCCAGTTAGAGCCACTGTGGATCTGAATGGACCAACTTCCCCTGTAGCAATCTCCCCTCCCCTCAGGGAATCCTCCATGGTCTCCCTGCCAACAGACTCAGCAGGTTCGCAAGCCAAGTCCTTCTGGGCCAGTAGGGGGCCACTAGGATTACTTCGGCTTGCTCTCTGATTACCTTTTGGATGATCCCAGGAAGGAGAGGTGGGGGAAAGGTACAGCAGCCGGACCGGCCACTTGCAGCGAAGGGCATTGACCCCTTCTGTGCCCCGAGCTGGGAACCGAGAGAAGAACCGCGGCAGCTGAGCATTGGACGGAGTGGCGAACAGGTCCACCACCGGTCTCCCAAACCTCTGGCAGATCCTCTGGAAGAGCTCCTTGGACAGACTCCTCTCTCCATTGTCTACCGTCTACCATATCAGTCAGTCCGCCTGATGTTTGTCAACGCTGGTGATGTGTTCAGCTCGGATTGAGCGCAGGTGTTTCTCTGCCCAGTATCGCAGCGACATCACCTCGGTGTGCAACGCCCTGGCTCATGTGCCCCCCTGTTGATCGATGTGTGCCTTTGCTGCAACATTGTCTGTTAAGACGAGGACATGATGACCTTCTACTGAGGTTTGGTACCGTCCTAGGGCAAGGTGGACTGCCCGAAGCTCCAGCCAATTTATGTTGTGTTGAAGGTCATTCTTTGACCACCGGCCCCCCCAACCGAACAGGCTGGCGTCCATTGTCAGTATGAGGCGCTCTTGTTCCCTGAATTCGCAGCCGTTGAGCAAAGCTGGGGGCATCCACCACTTGAGAGACATCAGCACCTGTGGCATTGCTTGTACCTTGAGCGTTGAGTTGCTGGAATCAGCCCTCTGATATGGCAGCAGCCTCCATTGGAGCATCCTGGCATGTAGCCGTGCCCACGGGACCACTTCAATGCATGAGATGAACTTTCCCAGCAAGCTGGAAAGAAGGGCTACGGGAACACAACGATCCTTCTGGATCTGGTTAATTAACTTCAACAAGCTGGACCAGTGGTCCGGGGAAAGAAACACTTGACCCAACTGGGAATCAATCACCGCCCCCAGGTTTAGGATTCGGGTGGATGGGGAGAGAGTACTCTTCTCGAAATTAATCAAGAATCCTAAGTCCTGGACCTGCTGAAGATCTGACCTAGTCTGAGCAGGAGATGCCCCCTGGACAAGGATGTCATCTAGGTAGCAGAAAAGCCTGATGGGAATCTTCCTCAGATGGGCGGCTGCTACCGCTAACATCTTGGTAAAGGTCCTGGGGGCTGAAACCAACCCAAACGGTAGAGCCCTGTACTGGTAGTGAAGCTCTAAGAAGGAGAAACAGAGAAAAAGCCTATGCTCGGGGAGGATGGGGATGTGCAGGTAGGCCTCCGTGAGATCAATGGATGCCATGTAGTCCCCCTCCCAGATCCCTGCCAGAATGGACTTAAGGGAAGCCATCTTAAAATCTCTATATACTAAGAATTGGTTTAGGAGCTTTAGGTCTAAAATGGCTCTCCATCCCCCCGATGATTTTGGAGGATGGCCGTAAAGTTGAAAAACGAGGCGGAGGCTGCCGCCTTAAT